AAAAAATCATTTTAAAATATATTGTTTGACTCAATTCTGTGTTTAAAATAGGACTTCTACTTACTTTCAAATTATAAATGCTGTTCTTAATATTTCTTTTCATTTTTAATCCTCTGTAACGCTCATATCCAACACTGTCCAACACGCTCTCCTAGGACTATCCTTCGCTTTCATAATACTTGTAACTCTTGGTTTTATTTCTAGGGTTCTCTTGACTGTTGCTTTAGCCCAAGCTTTCTACCTTGATCTTAGAAATTCTCACTCATTTCGACCACTTCACACCAACTGCCACCAAGGTCTCTCTCCAGAATCACCGTTCAGTTCTAGTTGGCCCACAACCATATTCCAAATAGCTAGTATATCTTTTCCCACTTAGAGATTCTAAATTATAAGCCTACTGTCTATTGACTTTCAAAAGTTTCATATTTAACACATGTTTTTTTCCCCTTGACCCTAGAGTCTGAGGCCAGAGGTGTTTTTTAAAGACAGGATTGCTGTAAGTTGCCCAGACTGCCCTTACACTTGGAATCTTCCTGCCTTAGCTTCCCTAGTAGCTGGGAATGTAAGCATGCACCACTATTTCTGGCTTAATGCAAGGATTTTAACCATCTGTCCCCGTTTTACTATTTAGCTATTACTTCTGCTAAAGAATTCTATTATTTCACACCAAATTCACCATGCAACATCAGACCTGTCTTCCCACACCCAACTAATTTTGCTTAGAATGCCAGCTCCTCTTCCTGACAGTTGAATCGGTGAATATTTGTCTTAAGATCTATCAAAAGAAGGTCTTTTTTCCTATAGCTTGCTTAGGTTACTCCCTTGGCAAAATTAAACCAATATTTTTTGCATAGTTCTTAAAGTCCTTAGCCCATTCAAAGCTACATATGCATTGGTTTCCCTTGATTCTGAGCTACACAAATATCAGAGATATTCATGTCCATATAGCTCTTTGGCTGCCCCCAAACACACACCTAATCATCCTAGCATGGGGCTGATCCTAACCATAACCTCAAGTGTAGAGAAAATTTGAAGATTTTTAAACTGAAAACCCTTCAAATCTCTCTCAGAATAAAAAATTCAAGCTCCAATGAGTGAAGGCAAAAGGAGTTCATGTTCTTAGTGGGGGAGGGGACGGGCAGGAGGGAACACACTGCTGCTGTTTACAGGACTGCAGCTATGAGGAAGTGCCAGTCCTGCGCTCGCTTTCTTGGATCTCAAAGAGGACAGAAATATGAAGTTCTGGTAAAGGTAAAAAAAAAAAAAAAAAAGTACCTTAGTTTTAAAATGTTGGCAACCAATCACATTATTTGAATGTACCCAGAATTACTTAGGATTTACCCAAACTGCTATAGCAATAAGGAAAAATGAACATTTTGAAGTAATGAGGTCTCTAATCATTTGTCACAGTACGAAACTGGATAAACACGCCTACCAGGAAGCTGGATCTTGAAATTCTGGTTAAGATTTTTCACGTCACTTGTCACACCAAAGCAGACACTGCACATTTGAGCCTTGTTACCCCAAACTTCAAGGACAGTAATGGCTACTGCTACTGCCCTGCTCCTGCCACTCAACCCCTTCTTACACACAAAAAATGCTTACACTGAAGTTAACCCTCTCGTATAAAAGATGAGCTAAACACAACTCAAATCCTAGCAAATGTCACGCACAAGACGAGCCCGCAGGAGCACAGATCACAAACCTTACCCGTTTGAGATGAATTGTTTTCAGTGTCACGGCACACTCAGATAGAGCCTGGGAAAGAAAGGTCAATTCTTGGTTACTGACGCAACTTTTATTTCCCTAGTGCTGGCTAGCAAAACAGGTCACTCACTGCACGTGACTGGTAAAGAGCAACTACTGGACATAAAATATTCTCTCACCAACATACTCTCCTCCATTAAAGATAAAATTCCAAACAATTGTCATACGGGAGAAGAAAGTGGCCATTTAAAACTCTTCATGGGGCTGGAGAGATGGCTCAGTGGTCTAAAGCACCTACTTGAAACAAGCTGGCAAAGCACAGGGACCGCGGGACCGCGGTTCAATCCTCCACCAGCACCACATGCCAGCCAGCCCCGCCCCCTGGTGGGCTGAGCTGACCACACACACACACAATAAATAAATGTAATAAATAAAAATAAATAAATAAATAAATTAATTAAAAAAAAAAAAAAAAAACTCTTCATGGCTAAGGAAAACCACTAATTTGAAGTAGGAAGACTAGAGATGTAGCTCACTGGTACAGTGCTTGCCAAGCATGGGAAGACCCTGGGTTTGATGCCCAGCAACCCAAATAAATTAATAAAGAAGTTACAACATAAAAGTCACTGAACTAAAAGAAACATAATAGAGTCAACCTGGTACTAAAGAAGAAAGTGTGACTACATGAGACCCACATAAGGCAAATGAAGATTCCTAAGTACTCACCAATACTGTTTGCGCATCTGCCAGGTCAAATGTTTGTTTTAAAGGGGCCAGGAAACATGCAGGAACAATGTGTTTATAAACAAAATCAGCAAATCCCACCGGTCCATCTTTACCTCCTGTTAAGAGAATTAAATTTTTCATCTTGTATACAAAAAAAATAACAAAAATACATATATATCTATCAGTCCATCACCATGGAAAATCAACTCCCAGTTCCTACCTGTTTGGGCTATGGTTCAATTTTACCTCTAAAATAAGTCTTATTAAACAGGTTGAAAAACAGAAGGTTAAAACAATTTATCAGGCTAAAGACAACAATATGCAATGTATTAATTATAGAAACTGTCCTACTACTTGGTTTTGAAACTGTCTCACTGCTATTTCTCAATAAAATTAATAATAAAAAACATTATCAGGCTAAAGGTGTAGCATAAAAGAGCAGTTATAAGGCCTTAGATTTGATCCCCAGCACTATCGATAAACAAAACAAGACAAATGATCTTACCCCAGAGTTCTACCAACTTTGAGAGGATGATAAAACATGTTTTCTGTGCAATCGGATCTGGATAGTCAACAGCTCCTTGGATAACGGTTACTAACACTTGTTCTACGTTCTCTGCGCCTGAAGACCAAAATGTGAGTTTAACTTCAAGCAGAACTAAACTCTCATTTCATACACAGTACCATGTCATAAAGCATTAGTAAGTAGGCACCTAAATGTCAAGAACTAAAGGCAGCCTTATCCTCAGGATTTCCTATGCAGTGGAATTCTCTTTGTTGTTCTATGAGATACTGTTTAATCTCAAAACAGCAAATTGACCAACGAGACTTAGACTGTGTTTCACTGACTCTGGAGAGTGATTGCTATACTACTGGTGACTAAAAAAAGGAATACTGATTTAGGAAAAAGGGAACTTGAATAAAAATTTATTTTACAGTACTAAGCCAAGCCAGAAAGTAACTGACTTCTGTCCTAAAAAAATTAGCAAACTGAAAAAAATAGCAAACTGTTTTATTAGAGGTCAACATGCAACTGTTCTGCATTTCCTCCAGCTCATCCTTGCCCAAACAGACAGATGCGCAAATGTGAAAGAGACTTAAGCAGCCAGGCCCTGCACTCACCTTGATTTGCTATCACCTCACTCATTCCGCTGCCTGTGACTGTCTGCAGGAAGGCAAAGTAGCTCCGCCGCAACATCTGCTTCTCCAGAGCCGCAGACTGGTCATTCTCTTCTGCTGGTCGGAGGAGCACTTCGAAAATTGCACGAAGCAGAGGCATGAACATCTGTTGTAAAAATGGGGAAACCTGGATCTGAAGATGAGAACCAGCCATTAGTACCACTGATTTGAGAAAACACAAAACTCAGAAAAAAGTCTTTATATAAAATGTTTCCTAGGAGTTTCTATTTAAGATTTACATAATGCAGAAAACATCGTTTAAGACAAATCTATATAACATACATTAATGAAGATCTCAAGATAATTAACTTTGATTCATTTCCTAACATTTAATTTAAAATAACAGCCACAATCAAAAGGTGCCATGAAGTAACTCCAAATTTAATTTTCCAAGCAATGAATTCTATTGCCAAGTTACATATCAATATACATGAAAAAAGAAAAAAATATATATACAGGACTGAACTTTCAGGTGTTTTATGCCCTTGGGCGAATCCCTTAACCTCACTGTGCCTCAATTTCCTCACCTAAAAGATAAATCTCCTATTTCCTAGGGTTACTATGGAAGTCAGAGTTACTGTACAAAAATATGACAGATTTTGGGCTCAGAAAGTATTATGTGTTCGCTATTTTTAATAGCCAGCTTACACCTGGCTTAAGTTGTTTTTTTTTTTTTTTTAAGGCAGGGTCTTACTATGTAGTTCAGACTAGCCACAAACTCAACAGTGATCCTTCTGCCTCCACCTCCCAAGTGCTGGGCTTACAGGTATGCACCACCATTCTCACCTAAACTTTTTTGTACATAAAACTGACTATAACACACTGAATTACTTTTAAACTGTTGCCTCAGCTACTACATTAGTGCTTATTTACCTGTTTAGAAAGGCCTCCACACTATTTTTCTTTGACTTTCTAAAATAGCAGTCTATTTCCTTCTGCTATATTCAGTAGATATGGATTTTTTGTTTGTTTGTTTTTGAGACAGGGTCCTGCTATGTCATACAGGCTGGCCTTGAACTGGCAGTGATCTTGACTCAGCCTCTCGAATGCTGAGCTTACAGCCATGCATAGGACACCATGCCTGACTGCTCAGGAGGTTTTTATTAAAACATCTAGTAAGACGGACTTGTGTGTCAAAAAAGTGTTAGACATTGGAGACAAAAGGAACTCACTAAGAAAAAAAATCTGCGGGCCAGGGAGATAGCTCAGTAGAATAAGCTCCTGCCTGGCAAGTGCAGGGTCCTGAGTTCAATCCTCAGTATAAAAAAAAAAAAAAGAAAAAAAATCTGCACAATGAAGACATGACTGAAAATAAATACATCTAATCTTTAAATCAGAAAAAAATGATTAAACCAGGTGAGAGAGCTCTATAAATATGTGGTACCTTAAATTTGGCTGTAATCTGGTTGATAAGGGGAATGAACTCCTGGAGGTCTTTTGCTTCACAATCTTTGAGCATATGTTCTGAGGCAGAAGGAATGAATGGAAGAACTTCCTCCTCCAGGCAAATAATCATTCGATGAAGAAAAGTTCGAACTCCACTTCTGAGAATATCCTTTTGCAAGGGACAACTTAGGGCTGGCAAGAAGGTCTGTAAGCAATCCAGGTAAACTTCGGAACAGCCACACTGTTTCACAGTCTGCTTGTTGCTGAAAGCTTTGCTGGTTCGACTATTTAAGCAAAATTCAGACAACTAGAGTTAACTTTTATTGTAAAAGTATTATGGGTGGGCCAGGGAGATAGCTCAGTAGAACAAGCACTTGCTTGGCAAGCACAAAGTCCTGAGTTCAACACCTGGTACTGCAAAAAAATAAAATAAAAGTTTTATGGGTATTTTAAAGCAATGTGCATGTGCACGTATGTGCACACACACACATGTGCACACACACGCACACATACTGACAGATTTAAGAAGTTAATCATCTCCATCATTGTCACTTCTATCCTTTGGTATGATGATTATGTATAAACTATTGCTGCCGGTCGTTGTTCCAGAATAAAAGGATGAAATTAAATGAACGAGATAGTTAACACAACCTGTGTCTAACCTGTTTTACTAAAGTCCTGATAAAGGACACAGAAAAGAAAAAAAATCTATTCACTATACCTAAGTTGTACTAGGCAACCTACAAAATATCCACTAAATTTAATTATTTATTTATTTATTTTTTGATTTTGCAGAACCGGGAATTGAACTTAGGTCCTTGCGCTTGCCAGGGATGCGCTTATTCCACCGAGCCAGCTCTCCGGCCCAAATTCACTAAATTTAGAAAACAATTTCCACAATCTTTTTATATAACCTTTCTAAGACAGAACTCTTGCTCTGAATTATTCAGTAGAACAATTTCTCCGTAACTTTCAATTAATAATCACTGTAACTTTCATGTTAGTACCGTTTGCCAATAAAAGGCTCAGGTAGAAACAGTTAAGAATAAGTTTTAAGACCTTCTCTTTAAGGTACCAAGACCAATCTAAATTAGCTCCTTAAATACATAATCACTTTGTGCCAAAGAAGCCAAAAGAAGGGTTAAAAATTCAGCCTGTGGTCTAAAGCAAAAATGTAGAATCATGTATGATCCTATTACCTTCCTTAGCCAAATTTTTTAACTTATTTGATTTAGAAGAGAAAGATCTACAAGGAGATTATGGGGCCAAAGAGGAAAGTAATCGATGATGTAGAGCGTGCCTAAGGAGAGTCACATGGAGAGAAAACATTCTCTCAGGCTTTCACAGAGAGCAAATTGGCCAAGCATTGGCTGTGACTCATCCACATGGCTGACACTGACAAAGGTTCTACAATCTGAGGTTACAGGACCTCAGGATAAATCCTGAGAGGATTTGACTGACCTTATCAGATACAAAAGCTACCACTCTTGGTGCATAGGTCTTGCTTTATCTTGGTCTTAACCATCCAGCAGAAAATTATAAAAACAAAGTATAAGAAGTAAAGCCATGCTGTTATGTTGAGCTGTAGGGGACTCAGGTCAACAATTTCTGACACTGTCAATCAAGCAGAAGACCCAATACTATTATGGACTACTGGACTCTTTTGGAATGTATTTTACTGAATTAACACACCTATAATATTCAAATGACGGAACTAAACAAAAAAGGGGATACAGATAAATGTCCATTTTGTATCTGTGTATTAAAAATGGTTGGGATAGTTACATTCTCTTAATGAATAGAGGAATTTGTTCTAATAGTGTCTGTAAATAGGATAATGTCTGCATCCTGTATAGCAAATAACCACTAGGAAGAGAGTATGCAATGTGTTAACTGTTGAAACTGTCCTACCAATTTGATTTGAAGCTGTCTCATTGCTATTTGTTTCTCAATAAAATTATGGAGAAAAAATAAAGAGAAAGATCTAGACAATTTTCTGAATAATCCAGCTTTGGAAACGTATGTGTGCCCACCCTAAAAGATCCAGGTAAGTGGCCATGTGCAGACACAATCCCTCTAGAGCAGCAAGCATGCTCACCTGGCAAATCCAACAGCATGGTTCAGACAGTCTGCCAGAGATGCCTGTCTTTCTTCATCTTGTGCCAGCATTAATTTTTCTAACAGAATTTTAAACTTTTCCATTAGTGGAGTCAATAGATTCCTCATTAATATTTGCTTCCTATCTGCTGGGTATTCACTATTGACAATAAGCACTCCAGCTGTCTCATAAATAAATAGTTGATCATCGCTGCTCAACAAGGACTGGTATCCATTCTCCTAGGATGAAATTAAGTCTTATTTAGCTCCTCTTAATCAGAATGACCACAATAGGAACAGAAGATTTAATGTATCACATCAATTCACAGATCAAGTACTTATAAAACCAAATTCTCTGCCACAACCATGTAACAGAAAAGAAGCTTTTTTCATTTGCATTTAGTACAGGGTCTCATTACAGATCAGACTCATAGTGATTGTCCTGTTTTCAGCCTCCCAAGCACAGGGATTACAGGCGTGTGACACTACGCCGTCTCAATCACCCACTCAGCTTACCCCACGGCCAGGGCCAGCACGGCAGGCCAGAGGAAACTGTTCTAATTGTAATCCTGGCTTAGAGGTGTGTGGCTCAGCAGTAGAATGTGTGCTTTGCATCCCAAAACCCTGTGTTCAATACCCAGCCTTGAAAAATCGCTAGCTTTGATAAAGACTTTGCAAGTCATTAAATATAAAGTAACTGTTTGCTCTTTTAGTTATGTCCTTTTTTAAAATCTTACTCGTAACTTATGAGGTTAAACATGAGGCATTACATTAAAATGCTTTGTTGGTACAAAAGCCACCACAGGTGGAGATTTCCAAGTGTTCAAAGCTCACACAATACATATACACACACAAGTATAATACCAGTTACTTTAGAAAAAGATGAAAACTAAGACTTTAAATAAAAAAACTTCATTCATAATGGTCACACATACAATACCCTGCTAAAATTCTATTATCAGATTTTGTTAATTTTTACATTTACACACTTTGAGAGGACAAGAGGAAATGGAAAAATGAGAGGCCACTCTAGATCCAAACCTAAAATTCTCAGTTAAGATTATAGTTGGTAAGGGGCCGGGGAGATGGCTCAGTGGAATAAGCGCTTCCCTGGCAAGCGCAAGGGCCTGAGTTCAATCCCCGGTTCCGAAAAAGAAAAAAAAAAAAAAAAAAGATTATAGTTGGCAAGATGGTATAAGCCTGTAATCTCAGCAGGGAGACTGAGGCAGGAAGATGGGAGGTTTGAATCCACCTGGGGAACTTAGTGAAACCCTGTCTCAAACTAAGTAAGAAGGGCTACAGATGTAATAGTGCCAAAGCCCTGGGTTCAATACCCAGAAAAACATACACATACACATGCATGCACATGTGCTTGTGCACATGCAACCACGCAACCACACACACACACACACACACACACAAAGTGTAGCTTTAACACAGATAAATGATAAGTTTATTATAAAGAACTCTCCATCACTGAAAAAGAAACATCCATACTGAAAAGCAATGAACACATCATTAAGTGCCTGGCAGGACTTATCTCTGCTCTGAAGTTGAGAACACAGAGCTATAAGGCACTCTAAAAGTGATCAATATTTTAAGAAAGCAATCTAAATCAGGTGTTTTTATGTAGTAAAGAAGGATAACACATACAGTGAAAATCCACATGGAAAATTTCCAGTATGTGTAAGATAACAGGACTCCTTGAATGCCTATGTGTTGCATGGGTCAGCGCAACCTGTCAAGGAAAACTAGCACAAAGTGGGTGAGGTACTTTACAACAGGTTTTGGTTGTATGTAGGTAGCACTAAATTAACCACATAATTCACTAAGAAATATTCGTGCAGTGATGTTACAGACCTTTCCAACCTAACAGTGATATTTATTTCAAAGAACAAAAGTTGATTTTGTATTTGACATTTTTAGATGACAACTCTTAAGAACCACGTTCATTAAATGTCAGGAGTTTGCTTTACGCAAAAATATGTAGAAGGCAAAATGTACTTACAAATATCTCACATTCTTCTAGTGAAATGGAAACCAACTAGCATGTAAGTATTTTTGACCTAAGCCTGAAGATATATAGGAAAACTTCCATGTAATAGCAGTAGCTAAGAATAAGACCATAGTAGTACTAAATTCAGAATTTAGATTTTCTTTTCTATAAAATATTTCAACATTAACAGTACAGAGAAATTACACTGTCAAATTCTCAATACTGCCAAATTTATTATCAACTCCTGATTCCTCTCCATTATTGTATTTATCATAGCAAAATAATTTTGATTTTTTGAGACAGGGTCTCACTATGGAGTTCAAGCTGGCCTTGCACTCACTTTTGTAGTCCAGACTGGCCTCCAATTCACAGAGATCCTCCTGCCTCAGCCTCCCAAGTGCTAGGACAACAGGCATGTACCACTTTTAGAGTGCAAAAGAATTCTGGTAAACAGAAGCAAATAAACTTGGTACCTACAGCTATCCCCACTGCAAGTTTCAAGAAACAAAATATGTACAAAGACAAAAGCTTATGATACATGTGGCTTCAATATTTTAGAAAAAGATACTTACTGGTGGAGAAAGGACCAATAAATCTTGTATTCTATTCAAAATATCTTCAATGAAAGGATTCATTTGTTTACTGAATAAATGTAAAAAGGAAAATCATTAAGTAAATAACGGTCCTCAAAAAATTGCTAAAATGCCAAATCCCTCTTAGAGAACTAAAGAGAAGTTCAGTCTTGCATTAACCATATCTGATCAAGACTATGATTAACTTTTAAAAATTATCTCTATCTACTCTATAGTGACATACTGTCAAGACTACTGACAATCTTATATTCACACCAAAAAAAGGGGGAAAAAAAATGGTACTAGTAAAAAATACTATAAAAAAGGTTAAAAATGCATTTTCAAGGAATATTTTTGGGAATTGTTATATAACTAAGGGCCAGCAAAATAGCTCAGCAGACAAAGCACCTGCTTTGGCAAGTGCTGAGACCAGCGTTTGAGCCCCAGTCCTGCTTGCCCCATGGGCCCTGCCCCTGTGGTACACTGAGCCAGTGACAAAGTCCAGGCATGGTGGTGCATGCCTGTAATCCCAGCACTGAGGAGGGTGACAACAGGAGGATCACCACGAGTCTGATCCTGTAGTAAGACCCTGTACCAAATACACAAATTAAAAAAAAAAAAAAAAAGTTTTGTAACTAGCAAATGCCACAAATGACAGGGGTCATCCATCGGACATATACAGACAGGAGCTGAGAGCATAGCTCACATGCATGAAACCCTGGGTTCAAGCCTAGCATCAAACACTAACATGTATGCAAACACACCACCTGTTAGGCTGAGCCAAGTATCTGAGTAATGAGCAAGAACCTATGTCAAAACCTAAAGAGAAGGCCAGGCGCAGTGGTTCATGCTTATAATCCCAGCACTTGGATGGCTGAGGCAGGATTGTCTTGAGTTCAAGGCCAGCCTGAAGTACGGACAGAGACGCTGTCTCAAAAACACCAAACCAAAGCAACCAAAAAAACCCAGTAAAGTATATCTAGTAAAGCATGCCTTAGAATAGGAAGAACCAAATCTATGCAAGGCTTGAGGGAAGGAATTTATATATCTACTTTATAGATAAAAAACCAAAACTTAAACAGTTGAAGTTTCATACTTACTTGAGAGACTTGACAAATCTAGAGAACAGGTATGCAGTTCTACTCCGTACTTTAGCACTAGAATGCCGCAGACCCCGGTGATCTAAGAAAGCCATCTAAAGAAACAGACACTTATTATTCCTGCACGTGCTCAAGGCCTTCACTCACTCTTACACTGCATTTGTGTTCACATCAAATTTTTTTTTTTTTTTCAGAACCGGAGATTGAACTCAGGGAAGCACTTTTTCTACTGAGCCATTTCCCTGACTCCTTCACATCAAATTTTATTTCTTAGACTCTTTTATTTCAAGGCAGAGACCAGAAATACACAAGTAATTTTATACTCCACCCAAATAGGCTCTTTTGGACTTATTTTAAACAATAAAGTTTTAACTCTAAGAAAAGTAATATGGGACAGAAAGAACATTATCTGATCAGCTGAACTATATGGAAAATAATCCAGAGAAAAGCATATACTTACTAGTACATTTGGAATGTGTTGAGGTTCAACCGTGAAAAACTTTTCATATCTAACAACAGTTTCAAAGAATTCCAGCATCACAGATGTATGCTGATAGGAACTGACTCCTGACGTTACCAGCTGAAGTGAAAATGAAACCTGTTAGTACAACATCAAAGCCCCAGTATAAACAATAAGAAGCTCTATCAACTAAGAAACTTCCATTAGCGTATAGTAAAAACATTATTTTCAAAATAAATCATCTTTAGTATACTTACAGTTCGCATCATGTCCTGCAAAGCGCTAGCTTTCGAAACGTCACCTGAGAAGTGTGCACCGTGAGACACTGGAAGAGCTTCTGCCAGCATATACAGCAATCTGATCGCTACTTCAACTTCCATAAACCGTGTAGTCTGCCAATTCCTACCAAGGGGCAAACATGTCAGTGACTCCTGAACACAAACATTTTACACACTAGCACACACATACAAAAGCCTCTGATGATCAAAAATTCTACTATTCTTTAATTTTGCCAAGCAACATGATTTGTATCACAAAAGAAGACTGGGTAAGTTATGAAGAAAAAGTACACTGTTTCCAGAGATACACATAAGTACTACGGATTAAGAAGTCACAAAATGACTAAGTCATCACAAATCTGATGAGAGAGGGTATAATAAGTTACACCCTCATCAGAGCATGGAAGAAGCAGGCTCATCACAAAGGCAGGAGCAAACTTACTGAAGTGTAGAACTAAAAACTCTGCGAACAGAAGCTAGCAGTAACTCTGGTGACACTTGAGCAAGTCTGTCCAACAACAACTTCAGCTGTTTTCTATATTCTACAAACATGGCTTCGTCTTCACCCTATGGTACAGGTTAAAATACCTGTTAAATTTTTGTAAGGACCTTAAATTTCATATACATTGTTCATTTTCTGTGCTTTTGTGCATTTATAAAATTCATACTTTTGTCATCAATATTTATGCAAAAATAATCACTATACCTAGTAGTTTTTCCCCTCTTGCTCACAAATAAGTATTTCTCAACGCAGCCCTAGCTCTCAAAAGCCTAGCGCGTAAAGCTTTCAGTGTAAGAAAGTGGATGGCAGGGTAAAACCAAAATAGGTTCACACCAGACTAAAGCCTTCGGCATCTTGATTACTCTACTTTAACTAAAAAAAGTGGTAATAGAGCCAGCCAGATAGCTCAACAGACTAAAGTGCCTGCTTACACAGATGCAGGAGCCAGGATTTGATCCCTGTCACCACAAGCCCTGAGGGCGCGCTGAGACAGCAATTGAGACTAGGCATGGTGGCACATGCCTGTAATCCCAGACTTGGGAGGCTCAGAACAAAAGGGAGGATCACTAGGAGTCCAATCTGTGTACTGAGACCTTGTAGACCCTGTACTAAATATACATTTTTAAAAAACATGGTAATAATATTGTATGATATAAGGGGCCAGGGAGATGGCTCAGTAGGATAAGCGCTTGACTGGCAAACGCAAGGATCTGAGTTCAATCCCCGGTTCCGCAAAAAAAAAAAAAAAAAAAAAAATTGTATGATATAAGATGCCTGGCAGTGTAGATCATAATCACAGCTACTCTTTATTGTCCAGAGCTTTTGAATGCTTGAGGTGGGAATGGGGTATTTTAGCTCATACCCAAACAGGACATGCTGTGACTGAGTCCCCAGGAAGCACCCAACAACACTGTGCTTCACAGGAAACTGACCTTCCCACATCTCTGGATAAGACTTGTACCTAAACAAGTCCAGACAGCTGAGCATTCTGGCACATGCCTGTAACCCTAGCACTAGGAAACTGAGGCAGAAGAATCACCATGAGCTTGAGTCCGGCCTGGGCTACTGTACAACACAGTGAGACCCAGTATCAAAAAAAAAAAAAAAACGCCAGGGGTACAGCTCAGCAGACTAAGTGCCACCCTGCCAAGTACAGGGCCTCAAATTCAATCTCCAGTACCAAAAACAAAAAACACCTCATCCAGACAAGTCTCATTCCTTCTCTCTACATCCAGACCTGACAACTTGAGGCCTAGTGACTCAGCCTCAATTCATCATTCTTATTAAATATAAAGTGACACACGACTACCAAACAACATCGTCAGTATTTTACTAAGTGTTTTCCCCCTTGGCAGCACTGGGACAGAACTCAGGGCTCTGTGGATGCTAGGTAAGCATTCTACCATTGATCTACATCACCATTCTTACAAAGCTGTTTTTCTGTTTAAAAGGAACTAAACTTAGGGCCTTCCCATTGAGTTATAGCCCAGCTCTTTACTTGAGAGAGGGTTTTTTGTTTTTTTTTAAATGCATTTGGTATAGGGTCTCACTACACAGCTCCTACTTGTAGTGATCCTTCTGTTTTCAGCCTCCCTAGCATCAGGATTCCAGGCACAGACTACCACACCCTCCTCGGTGGCTGGCTCATCACACTGGACTGTGGCCTGCACAGGTCCCTAATGCTTGCCTAAGCAGGTACTTAGTCTGCTGAGCCATCTCGCTGGCCCTCGAGACAGGGTCTTGCTATTTTGCTCAAGACTGAGTTGAATTTGTGATGTGCCTGCTTCAGCTTCCCCGAATGCTGGGAGTACATGGGTCACCATTCTTGGCTCCTACAGAGTGTTTTTAAAATGCTTATAAAGGGGGAGGGGGAGAATGAAAGATGATAGACTAAGAGGCTTCCATTAATTTTACCCAAAGTTAATGTCAATATAAACAAGACTGACTTTCAAATACTTCTAAAGGGTCCCCAAATAACAAAAACTTGAACTATTAATTTGATATAAATAAACAATAAAACCAAAGCTGGTTTCTCTTTGATGCACAAATTCTTACCTCATTTTCAAAGTTGTATTCTTCATCGTAAGTCAGTTTTTTCATAACAGCCAACATGATTGCCTAAAATTAAAAATAAAATAGCTTTTTATCAGCCTCCTTTAATTTGATATAATTTGAAATTAAGCTACATTTCAAGGCAGATTCCAGACAAAGAGACTATCATAGATTTAAAGAAGCATTAAAAAAAAAGACAATTACCTCTACATTAGCCTTTTGTTGATCTGAGAGCACCGTAAGCTGTAAAAAAGTAAGCAATAATATATGAGGCTTCCTGATGTTATTTTCTAATTTAGTAAGATCCTCTGAAACATACATATAAATTTCTGGAGAGGGGTCTGGTAGCACTTAATCTAGGATCTTCTAGTACATAAAAAACACCTAGGCAGACCTATAGATGTGATTTTAAAATTACTTAGAATGTATTTACTAAAGAAGCAGGTTCCGTAAAACAGGAAGGGATGGCCTCCTGTTGCTTTTAAGCAGAGCAAAACAAGTAGCCTATAAATCCATTTAAGAGATACACAGTGAAATTACCACTAGTAATCATACCATGACTAAAATTTAATTTCTTTTTTTTTTTTTTTTTTGTCTTTTGGAGACAGAGCCTGGCTATGCAGTTTTGGCTGGCCTTGAGCTCATTTTGTAGCCAAGGTGGTCTCAAACTTGCAACAATCCTCCTGCCTCTGCCTCCGAGTGCTGGGATTACAGGTGTGCACCACATGGCTAATTTTTTTTTTTTTTTTTTTGGTATTTAGGATAGGGTATACAAGGTCTCACTGCGCAGATCAGACCTGTAGTAATCCTCTTTTTTACAGCCTACCAAGTGCTGGGATTATACACACCCAGTCTCAACTGCCCGTCTCAGCGTGCCCTGGGGGGGCAGGGGCAGCAGAGCAGGCCCAAAATTTCTTTCTTTCTTTCTTTTTTTTTTTTT